AAGTTGAATGTGAAAAAAGTAAAGCAATAACACTGAATATGTTGATGATGTAGCTTGTGATCTGGTGTTAAAGTGGCATCTGACACAAAAACCTGGTCCAAAAAGCATTCCTGCTCATTCTGAGCAATACTCACAATGTATTTTGATCTTCTTGGCAAGGCTACTGGTGCACACTTTTTTGGCTGGGGTTTGCTGTCTGTGGTCCCAGAGCTAGCTGGTTCAGGCATTCCCTGAGGTTTGAAGCTCTTGTGCTGCTGTAGTGGCAGCCAGATAACTAGGGAGATGGCTGATGTACCTGATGGCTGGTAGTGCTTCATCCTTGGTTTAGGTGCTACTCAGGTGTGATACAGCTGCAGAGGTAGCTAGCTCTGCAATCCAACCAACGATAAGCTACTCCAAGAGGAGATGCCATTCTGTACCCAGCTGGCTGAAGTCTCCAGATGTCAGAGCCTTCTAGGATGGAGCTTCCCTTTGCTCTACTCCCCCTGCTAGAAAACTGCTTTTGGAGTCACAGCTGGTTTTAGTGACACAAACTCTGCCACTCCAAAATACTGGCTGTGCTACTTGCTTGCTGAAGTGGAAAAAACCAAGGTTTTGAATTCAACTTCTGTTTTAATTCCATAGACATGAAGAAATAAGTACATATACAGAGTTGTTCTCTGCTTCTCATCTGCATCTAATGTAGGTGTACATGGACAGCATCTCCATGCCCAACTTCAATGCCCAGCTACAACCACCTTCCATTAGGCCAAAGTTCTGTGCTCTGCCTGTTAAAACTAAACATGTACCTTCTGTCATGGTGCCCTAAGGATTCCCACTTATGAACTTCCATTTAAATTAAGATCTTAAAAAGTTTATTTGTTGAACACCATCTATGCAGAGGAAGCATACGCATCCCAGGCAGCAAAAATGTCGTATATGCATTATGAGGTATTTTAGGCATCTGTTAGCAGCTATAGAGTTGTTTGAGAATTTTGGTGGTTCCTTGGTGACATACCTTTGAGAATATACTCGAGACTGCACACGTATTTATCAATAAATCACAAAATTCAAGAGTATGTTTACTGAGTATTGTTTGGTGAGTGTATGCTTTAATATACTTAAGTTTCCTCTGAGCTGGCATAAATGATTTTTCCTGATGATCAGAGTCCTTTCAATTTACCTGCATTTCAGCGTTCTTTGTACGTGATTCATTTTACCTGTGGCCATGTTGAGTAATCATCTCAAATTAATGCGATACACAAGCTATTCCAGTATGCATTTATTGAAGAGCTTTACAGTGTTGTTCTTGATAAAGTTCTTGGATCCATTGTTTCAGTTTGCCTGGGCATAATAAAATCTTCAAGGAGTTCAGTGCTGGGAAGTGACCTCAGGCAGCCGAGGTTAAGCTTCAACTTTCTGCTTCTTTAAAGCCTGTTGACTTAGCTAGATCTCCTACCTTTAAAAGTTCTATAAGAAAAATCTCCCCTGGCATTGTAAGTGGATTACTGATAGTTCTACATACCAATTCTGTGTTTGTTTCCTATCTGGGCCATAGGACCACATTTATTTTTGGAGAAATGCCCCCTCAGCTTTGTTATCTGACTGAATTCCCTTCCTTTTCCAGCTATCTTCAGTAAAAAAGCTAAAAGTAGAAAAGCTCTTGCAGATATTAGGCACAGCACTAGGCAGAACCCTCACTGAATGAAAGGAGATGACCTTGGTTCACAGCTCCTTTGCCCTGCTCCCTTCTTTCTGACAATACTGTCGCATTTTAATCATCTCTGTTTGAGTCTCAGACTGCTGAAACTTTCCAAGAAATCAGTTTTAGGGTTCCAGGCTATTAGGCTTTTAGAGAAGCCCATAATCCCCCTTCCAGTGGGCTGCATGATGCATTCAGATTAATCAACCAACAGTTTCTGAATAATTAATAGAAAGTTTATGGAGAACCAGTGCTCTTCAGAACTACCAGAAGAGTCAATTTATACTCCTGGCTGCTGCTAGATATGACATAGAAGAGGTGCAAGTCAAAACAGTCTGTAGCACCTATAAAGGAACAAATCTGTTTCATTCATAAGTTTATTAACACTTAAAATGAGACAAATTTAATTTACCATTATCTGCATCTGATTGAAGTATCCCAGCCTGCTCCTCACACTTTCCCAATTTCCAGGGAAAATGAAAATACCAATGTTTCTAAAGCAGGCATTTCCATTATTCTCAGAAGTGGCTTTTACTGTTAGATGCTCAGTTCTGTCCCATGATTCTCCCTAATCCATTTTAGCTGCCTTTGCCCATTCTGTTTTAAGTTTTAGAGTTTGAAACACTTTATTTTTCCTTCTTGTTTAATGAAAGATACTTAAAAATGTTTTCTACTCTTTCTGTAAGCCCGTTCTTGTCCTGCAAGAGGAGTGAGCATAAGCTTCATGGGCGACTGGAGCCTTTTGCACCCTTATTTTTCTCTTACGTATACATATGCCATCTTCAGGCTGCAAAGGCTTGTTCTTGCTGACCTTTATCATTTTTTGTTTGCTTTTGCAGTGTTTGTAAGAGTTCCTCATAACCGTTTATAGCAGTCCTAAACTTTCTATTAAATAACATTTCAACAAGTAACTGTCCTAGTTTCAAGGTTGCTTCTTGGTTAGGAGACTGAATTCAATTGCCTTTTTAGATATTCTTTATCAGTTTTTGATACTATTTTTTCCTGACCGTTACATCTTTGCTACCTTAGATTAAAATAGATCTGTTTAAATTTACATTATTCTTTAAAATGTTTAAACACAAATTAATCAAACTGTCATTACCACACTTGGTATTTCATACCAAACGTTATTTTTTATTTGTGAGATTGCATGCTTAGCATTTGGATGCCATAACAGAGTCACTTCTGGAAAATGGGAATAATATCCAAAAACAATATTTAATTTTATTCCAGCATACACAAACAAATCTATGCCAACCTTGAACCACAGATTTAACTGTTTTGTTTCAGTTTCTTGTTTTTTTAATGAATTTATTTTATTACCTTTTATTCTGTTTTTGCCTTTGCTTGACCCCTGTGTCATATAGTGCTCTGTTGTTTGGTTTTTGGGTGGGTTGGTTGGTTGTGGGCTTTTGTTTCTTCCCCCCCTCATGCTCTTCAGGTATGCGTTTCTTTGTTCATTTAGTTTTTACGTTTTCGAAATAACCACCTGAGCACCTCAAATCAAATTTCAGCTAAAATCAAATTTTCATTCAGAGCCCGTGCAGTGATTATGTGTATCTTATACAGGGCAGCCAATATTAACAGTATTTATTTATTTCTGTATCATGGCCTATACAGTAACAATGCATTAAGACTGTGTTTGGCAAAGCTTTTTGAGCATTTTTGCATGTACAATGCTGGAATGTGGTACTTGTTCTACCTTTGTTGAAAACTGTGTTGTCTCCTTTTAGTCTTTTCTGTTGTTACATGTTAGTTATAAAACCGCATAGTAGACACTGAAACAGTAGTTAACCTGTTTTCTTTCAGTTACCACTAGACTTGAAGTGGGTTTCTTACAGCTCTTGCCTTCCATACCCAAGTTGTTCAATGAGGGCTAGAGCAGGTGGAACACTTTTTAAATGAGTCTGTTGCCCCCTGATCCTCACATCGTATTAGTGCATCCACACCCCCATGGTACGTACTCCTGAGTATGTCCTAACCGCATGAAAGACAGAATGTTTTTATAACCTCATTGCTTCAGGAATTCAGTCTTAAAAGTGCACTGTTTTTTTCAACACACATGTACCTTGCATATTTTGGACCTATAGCTTGTTTTGTCATCTGCACATTTCTCATTTGTTGTTCTTGATTGATTTGGACATCAGAAAGATTAAACAGTAACAAAATTTCCATATTCTTTGACTGTTCTCCCTCAGGAGTGAGAGGCTCAGAACACTGTGTCTGTATAGACCTGTATAAATGGAAGCTCTTATATATTTTAGTGGCTATTTTTTTCCTGTTAGTACTAATACATTTTATTTCACATGCACGATTTTTTTAAAATAGAAATGTATGTCCTCTCAGGGGGGAAATAATATTTTCTGATTTTTATAAGCCTTTCCTCACATTGGTATTGTCTGTAGACACTTGAATCCTTCAGGACCAAAGAATGGAACTTAGTGTCAGTAAACAAATCATGTTTATTGCTTCCTAAGTGTTTACACAATGAGAAAAACCAAGCCCCCAGGGAATCATATTGTAAAAAGGAACAGTTGGTTTAAATTAGGTTTCCATGTGAAATATAGCTACTTTTTATGGATGTTGTGGGAACATAAGCTGGAAAGAAAATCTACACACTGATAAAATGAAGGTTTGGTTTTATTTATTTATAAACAAACAGAATCATGTCATAAGTTAATTTCTTATTCTGGTATTAATCACCAAACAGAAGTTGGTAGTATGATCACACTTAGGAAGGTGGGTGGGATTTTTTGTCTACTTCTTTTGTGATCTTGCGCATAAACAATGTTAATTATTTTAAATGTTCCGTACATATAGGAATGAACAAATTTGTACATGAAATACAATTGCCAATTTTGTGAAATTAAGTGAAACTTAAAATTCTAGTTTATAAACTTTCACTGTTTGTGTTGTACAAACAAGGGTTATTTGATGTGATTAGTAAGATATGATTTGTAAGCTATGTTAATGAGAATTTACACCGCATATGTCTGGCAGCTTTAGAAATTAGTGTCTCCTTAAGCTGTCCCATTTTCTTCTGTGGCCTGAATGGATATTCAGAATATTTTACATTAAGATACAGTAGTTTTTTTGTTTAATGTAGATATTTGTAGTTAATATTTAACTGTTTTAACGTTTGTCTGTGTGTAAGGTGTTTGCAATGCGTATGTGATTTGGCCGTAAGTGTATAAGTAGAATTGTCTGATATCCTCTTGATGGAAAGAAGCAAAAAAACCTCACGTTATCCATCAAGTATGTGTGAATGCTCCAAATTACATCACTTTGGCTGACTCTGCTGCCTGTTTTCTTTTTCAAGGTGAGCTCGTGGGTTACCTGGCTGATCCTGACTGCAGGTTCTATGGAGGAGAAACGAGAGGTCTTCTCATATTTGGTACATGTGGCAAAATGCTGCTGGAATATGGGCAACTACAATGCTGTAATGGAATTTCTGGCAGGGCTAAGGTACTGGCAACTCTCTTTTAACATGACTTTCAAGTGATAGATTACACTCCAGCTTCCGTTAAGCAGATGTTTCTGGAGAACAGTGGACTAAACGGAAGTCTTTGGCTAAATCTATAATCTCACCCTGTGACTTTCTAGTAATCCCTTTTGGAAAAATGAAGCATGCTAAAAAACATCTTTTTCCAAACTCTCTGGAGACACCATCGTTTTTCCCAATACATGCTAAGTATGTTAGATTAGAAAACTTTTTTTTTTTAAAAACAGAAATATTTAAAATATAAAAAGAAGATAACAATGCATTTGTGGTTTATCTAATCTAATGAAACTAATGTAGATGGGGGTTGGAGTTTCCAGAACACAAGTGAAACATAATCATGGTACTGTTTTAAAAGGGTCAGTTTTAAATTGTAAAACCCAAGAACCCTACACAAGAACAACAACAAGAAAACAAACAAACCAACCCCAAACCAAACTAACCAAACAGTTAAACCCCTCTTTTTAACCCTTTCAATTTACTTATAGTGACTGATGTTGGGATCTCATGCTGTCATGGTCTTATACGGCCAGACCTTCAGTGTCTCCAAGAGAAAGATAAGAGTATGGAGTTAAAGAAAATTTGTTGCTAGATTTCCTCCAGAACTGCTGTTTCACGTGGGCCAGTGAGCAGGAAAGTCGTGCCTTTGCATGGGCAGTCCAGAGCAAATTGGACTGTACAGCAAAGAGTTAAGATCACATTTCTCATCTCTTAGCTTTGACCTTGCTTGTATATTGTGTTTGTGTAACAAAGCTTTAAAGTGTTTGTATAGTTGCTCTTTGTGGTTTAGTAAGGATTCTCATTGAGCTATATGTTTACTTTTTTGGTATATAAAACACATTTGAAACACTTGAAAAGCTCATAGGCACTGGGATCCTTTCTGAGCAAAATGCATCCACAGTCTCCCTAGCCCTGTAAGTTGTGAGGGAAAATGCAAAGCCAGTTAAGAGCTTAATTTTATCTCTAATGCATCTGCACAGCACAAG